GATCCTGGTCATTCCCAAAGTGCAAATTCACAATGAAAGACAATGCCACCCAATTGCGAAAGAAATGAAAGCACTTGCAAAGAGATAGAGACCAGAGGAGAGAGAAAGAAGAAGAAGAAGAAGAAGAAGAAGAAGATATGCACCAGCAAGACCAATGACAATTCCCCCCTCTCTCTCCACCTTCCTCCTCCACTTCGCCAATCTTATTCTTCTCCCAATAATAATAATAACAATGAATGGATGAACCAGAGTCAATATCCGAAGTTCCCTCTTACTGCTGACTCAGCAACAACAACAACAACAAGTCCACCATAGCTATGGATTCCCTCCTTCCTCCTCCTCTCACATGCCTAGGCTATGGCTGACTACTGAGGGCCCTGCCCTCCTGTCCAAAGGACAACCCAAAGCAGCTATGGCGCTGCACTCCTGTCCAAAGGACAACCCAAAGCAGCTATGTCGCTGCTGACTGATCCGCCATGCCAGACTCTGCCTTGAGCTTCCTTGGTGCGGTACTACCCCAACTGGGGCCTTCCAGATGCAGCGCCCAACAAGGTGATGAAGAGGGTGTCCACCATAGCCAGGTAGGTGCCTCGCCACTCTCCTCCTTCGCCCTCTTCTTCCTCCTCCTCAGGCTGGGCTGCTTGCCATAGCCAGGCTGAGCGCCAGCTCCCTTCACCTCCAAGCAGCGCTGTACCAGTCCAGCACTGTGCTCCAGCAGCATGTCGCCAATCCTTGCACACCGCAAATGAGGAGGAGCTACTTGCTCCTCCGGAAGATATAGCGGCCTACTGGCCTCTTGGGCGGTGACTTCCTAGGCCGAGTGGCCTCCCAGCAACCGGTACCTCCTCCCTTTCGGAGGGAAACATCATTGCAGGCTCTGCTATCCTCCGGACAGGCCCTAGACCCGGGCTACTTGGACTGGTACCGGCCTACCTCTAGCCTACCGCTACTGGGCCTCTAAAAATGCCAACTTTTTGTCTTCTTCTGCTCGGCCTCCAGTACCCGACACTTCTACCACTACTTCAGTGGTACCGCCTACCTGCTACTCGAGTGTTTTTCCCCTCCGCTCTAAGTGTCGCGGGCTTACCCCCGCTACTCGAGTGTTTTCCCCGCTGCAACCCTCAAAGTCACGGCCACAAGTAAATACCGGCCCTGCGGGGCCTTTCAACCAACAAGTACCCTTGCGGGTCATACACACACTCAGCCGACGAGCACTCAGACAGGCATGCAAACCAGCAGGCACGCACACGCACACAGACATGGAAATCACAGCAGAATGCGGGAATCTCAGCAAGGCACTCATTCCAGCGGCAAATCCCATAAATCAGCAGTGTTCTCAGTCTGTGTTTTGGCGGGTCATTACATATACATTGCCCAACTGGGCATGTAACAGTTGGTACCGGAACACCACACGTGAATCAGGACAACCTGATCTGACACGTGTGCGGGGACTAACTAGTTGTTTAGTTTTGATTGATTGATTGATTGATTAGAGCACACTAATTAGCCCCCAAAATCGCGATTTTGACCTAACTGCCGAAAATCAATTTTTTTTTTCTTTTCTTGGATGTTTTCCAGCTATTTCAGTTGTGGAAAATCGCAATAACGCAACACCTCAAATTTCCGTTTTCGTTTTTTTGAAAATTCAAAATTTCATTGTTGGAAATCCGAATATTTTTTCAAAAAATTTCGATTTCCTTTTGCGATTTCCCGTTATTTGGAAATCCACGTCAGCAGCCGAGCAGTGCCACGTCAGCAGCAGGGAGTGCCACGTCAGCAGTCCTCCGCCCTGGTCAATGCTCACTCGCTCACAAACAGCCGGCATGGATAAGAAGTCCGGGGAAACGGCCGAGGCCTATCAGGCCCGGATGCTGGCTTTGATTACCGAAGCCAAGAAATAGGCGCCGAAGCCAAGAAACATGCGGATGAGGTAGCAGCCGCTGAGAAAAAGAAGGTTGAGGACTCCGAGAAGGCACGTTTGTTGGCAATCGAACAGCAGCGCCAGCAAGACGAGGCAGCAGCAAGGGCTGCCAATGAAGAACGAAATCAACGACGCGAGAAGATATTCAACGGAGAGTGAGCCTTGCTCACAATGGCAGCGGACTGGCGGGCAGAGGCCGAGAATGGTAAGATGGAAGAGTGAAAGCAAGATCGCTCTACTCCTCTCCCATTTGACGGATCTCCTGGCAACGTGCATTGCACAGCAAGAGGACATCCACAACCTCGACGACGCGGTTCAGGCGCACAACCACGCGTTTGATCAAGTCAACAGCCGCCTCCAGCAGTTGGGGCAACGACCCGTCGCCGCCCCCGATGCCAGCTCCTCCAACACCTCTGATCGCCTCAATGCATTGGAGATCGACGTCGGAACCCTCGAGGATGACGCGCAGCTACAGCAAATCGCCACGCAACAACTGGAGCAGCGGATCTGTGCTGCCGCCGCCACACCGAGTTTGGCACCGCGTGAGACAACTCCAAAGTTCGATGTTCAGGACATCTTTTGCGATTCGACGAAGACGGACCCGATTCCGTGGTTCCTCAAATTCGAGCTCAAGTTGCAGCTACACCATGTCAGCGAGGACAAACATCACGCGTATTTATATTCCCGGTCGGGGGGCGCGTGCCAAGCATGGTTGGACAATCTCTTGTCCAAGTACGGGTTGGTAGCTGCCGACTTATACACCAAGATCAGCTGGGATGATCTAAAGGCGCCGTGGCATAAGCGGTTCCAAGTAGAGCCGTCGGAGATCAAGGCAATGGACAAATTGATGACCTTCGAACAAGGCACACTGCCGAGTGTTGACTGGATTGTCGAGTACCAACGCTTGACATATGTCCCAGACCTTCAGATGGGCTTCAAGGCCGTCAAACACTACATCTCGAGGTCGTGTCCGGCGTTGGGCAACGCCTTGATTCACATCGAGGGCACCCTGATGACAACGGGGGAGCTCTTCGAGAAGGCCTCACAGATCATTGTCACGAACAAGGAGGCTAAGAACCTCAACCGTTCGTCTGCGGCAGGCCTGAGCAGAGATTAGTATCGGTCGAAAGTGGCTGTGGTCGCGGCGGCAACGCCAACCGACCCTTCTAGCGAGGCCCTGTCTGCCAATGACGGGGGCAGACTCACAGCCGCCGGGTTGGTGGCCGCGCCGGCAAAGGCCGAGGACGTAGCAAGACGTAGACAAACACCGCATCTATTCTTGGGCCCGACGCAGCAGCTCCAGCCCCATGGTCCCACTACGGTCTCTCCGAACGTGCGTACAAGCTATGCACAAGATTCCGCTATTGTCTTTGGTGTAACAGTGATCTCCACAACACAGTGGGCTGCCGGTTGAAAGGCAAGGGCAAATCGGGAAACGAAGCACCACCGGTAGTGAATCGACGACACTTTCGACGCCTTTGGAACCGATCGCTTCGCTGGTGACCGCCCTTCGTTCCGAGGCACATGCGGAAGTCGATAGTCCTCTTCTATATTCTTATGAGGACTATGCTGGCCGGCTCGTTCCTACGTTGGGTACTCATGCTCAAGGACAAGACGTGCGGAATCGTCTCCATCCGGCAGCGCCGATTTATCGTCTTCAAGTGGTTCTTCACGGGATTCGGCGCGCGAGTTCAACATAGAGGTCTTGGACCCGCTCACGTCCGAGGATTTCGCATGGTTTCCTCTCCCGACCACGGGCCGCTTGTCGGGATCGCCATGCGCAGCATTATGCACTCATCTTCACACGTATCTATCCTTCTAGCCACCACCAACTTCGTCGACGGATGACGAAGCTGCGGTGGGGGACATCCTTGCGTATGTTACCAACGTGGCCCGCGAGTTTCGCAAGTAGCGGTACGATGACAACAACGCACCGCTCCTCTATGTCCGCATCCAAGTTGGGCAAGCGCCCTGCAGCGCTTTGCTAGATAGCGGCGCGACTCGCAATTTCATGAGCCAAGCCTTCATGCAAAGGGATGACCTTGGCGCACAAGTTCGAAGGAAGGCAAACCCGACGGCGATCAAGTTGGTGGACGGAAGGACGCAGCAGCTTATCGACCGCTATATCGAGGCAATACCGGTGTATTTCGCACCTCATGCATGCGAACCGGTGAGGTTCGACATTTTGGACACGGACTTCGACATTATTTTGGGAATGCCTTGGCTTGCAAGTGCGGATCAGACGGTCAACTTCCACCGGCGGACTCTTACCGTTCGGGACGCCTTTGGCGCCGAAGTGTCGTGTACTATTCCTCTTCCGCACCCTTCGATTCGGTGCCAAGTGGTAACGACCAAGTCATTCCGAGCTACTTGCGCTTACGAGCAGCGCGGCGAAATAGGCCTATGCTTCCTACGTGCCGTCGTGGTAGCCGATTCTTCCCCCATGGACTTGTCTTCGGACCCCTGTGTGGTGCGGTTGCTTGACGAGTTCACCGACATCTTCAAGTCACCTGCCGATGTGGTGCCGGATCGGCCGATCTCTCATGAGATCATTCTTGAGGCCGGTGTCGTGCTGCCGAAAGGCTGCATTTACCGCATGAGCGAGGAGGAGCTTACGGTCCTCCGCGCACAACTCGATGACTTGTTGGACAAGGGCTGGATCCACCCTAGTAGCTCCCCATGTGGAGCGCCAGTTCTCTTCGTACGGAAGAAGAACAAGGATCTACGATTGTGCATCGACTACTGTAAGCTCAACATGCAAACCGTCAAGAATGCGGGGCCTCTTCCTCGTATTGACGATCTCCTTGAGTGATTCGGTGCCGCAAAGTACTTTTCTAAGTTGGATTTGAAGTCGAGATATCATCAGATTTCGATGCGGCCGATTGATCGCTATAAATCCGCGTTCAAGATGCGGTATGGGCATTTTGAGTGGGTGGTCATGCCTTTTGGCCTCACCAACCCCCCGGCGACCTTTCAAGCGGCAATGACCAACGAGTCTCGTGCAATGTTGGACCGGTTCGTGCTAGTCTACTTGGACGACATTCTCGTCTATAGTTGAACATTCGAGGATCATCTTGAGCACCTTCGACGAGTGTCGGGGACACTCCGCCTCGCCAAGTACAAAGCCAACCGTGACAAGTGCGAATTTGTCCGGCAAGAGCTGGAATACTTGGGCCATTTTGTCACATCGGAGGGCATCAGTCCGTTGTCGGACAAGATTCAAGCCATCCAAGAGTGGCCGGAGCCGTGAAATGTCACGGATGTCCGTTCTTTCCTTGGCCTTGTCGGCTACTACCAACGTTTTATCAAGGGATACTCGAAGATCATGGCCCACTTGTCCAAGCTTCAATGCGAGGATCGACCGTTTGACTTCGGAGAGGATGCGCGAAAATCATTTTTGGCTCTCAAAGACGCGCTGTTATCTGCGGAGGTCTTGCGCATATATGACCCGCTATTGCCAACGCGCATCACTACAGATGCGTCTGGCTATGACATTGGTGCCGTCATCGAACAACACGATGGCGTGGACTGGCACCCGAGTACTTCAGCAAGAAAGTGCCCGTCGTGCACCCAGCCTTCGTCCAAGCGCTCAAGCGGTGGCGACACTTCCTCCTTGGTCGAAGTCAATTCCGATGGGTAACGGACAACGATCTGTTGGTCTTCTACAAGACCCAAGACACCGTCAATAGCACCATCTCCCGTTGGATTGCTTTCATCGACCAATTCGACTTCTTTCCCGATGACATTCCGGGGTAGTCTAACCGTTTTGCGGATGCTCTTTCACGGTGTCCGGATCATTGTACCGCAGTCTATTCGACCTTCGAGATCGACGACGACCTGCGGGACAGCCTCATCCACGGCTACAAAACCGACCTCGAGTTTCACGACAAGTACGCGAATTGCTCCTCTCCTAATCCGACGCCTTCTCACTACTGGATCCAAGAGGGGTACTTGCTTGTCCCCACGCGGCGGAAGGACCTTCTTTGCATACCGAGTGACTCTCACTTGCGTACACGACTTCTTGGGGAGTTCCACGATGCTCCTGCCACCGGACACTTCGGAGTCAATCGCACGATTGTCCGACTTTGCGAGCGCTTTTGGTGGCCCGGCCTTCTCGGCAACGTCACACGCTATTGCGAGTCATGCGAGGTTTGTCGACATTGCAAATCCCGCAACCATCTTCCGTACGGTGAGTTGCAACCGTTACCGATCCCCTTGCGCCGAAGGGAAGCGTTTGCCATGGACATAACCAGGCCGTTCCCCAAGCACAAGACCAGTGTGGATGGGATTCTCACTGTGGTCCACCGACTCACCAAGTTCGCCATGTTTTTGCCTTGTCGCTATCATGCCAAGGCACCCGAGTTGGCCGAGGTTTTGTACGCCGGTTGGATTCGAACCAAGGGTTACCCCAAGGAAATCATCTGTGACTGCGACACTCGGTTCATGTCCGATTTTTGGTTGGCGCTCATGAAACGATGGGGCTCATCTCTCAAGCTAAGTTCGGCTCACCACCCCCAAACCGATGGCCAAACGAAGAGGGCACATCAGACTACACAGGTTCTCCTTCGCACTCTCATCCGTCCCGACCAAAAGGAATGGATTTGAGCGGCTGCCGGATGTCGAGTAGGCATACAACTCGTCCATCCACCCGGCTATCGGGATGTCGCCCTTTCGAGTTTGAGCACGGCTCGCCGGTCACTTCTCCGTTGGACACAATCATTCCACGAGTGGCCGAGAGCGACGACCATCTTCTTTTCTTGCATCGGATGAAAGAGTTATTTGTGAAGGCACGGGACCAGATGGGTAAGACGCAGCAGCGCATAAGCCAATAGGCCAATCACTAGCGTCTTCCTTGTCCATTTCGCGCCGGCGATCTCGTTTGGGTTTGCGCCGCAGAGTTTAGCCTCAAACAAGATATATCTTGCAAGCTCCTCCTAAAATGGATGGGGCCCTGGCCAATCGTGGCACCCGTTGGGGATGCACCCGAAGGACCTTCCTTCATTATTCAGGTGCCCGCCCACTTGCCCGTCTACCCGGTCTTTCATTGCTCCAAGTTGGCTCTTCACACGCCAACGGAACATGACGATTTTCCCGGTCGACGATCACAAGACCCACCCTCTATGAACGGTTTTCAAGAGGTCGGGGACATCATCAACCAGTGACGCTACGACAACAGGCCGACCGAATACTTGGTACACTTTGCGTACTACACCCACAAAGCTGACCGTTGGTTGACCTGTGTGGAACTCCAAGCAACAGCTCCAGATGTTCTCGCACGCTACGAACGCAAGATGCAAGGCAAGCCGGTATCTTCGGCTCCACACCGCACCCGCGTCGCGGTTCCACCTTCATATTGTCAGCTTCGCCCTCGACCCGGCTTGACTTCATAAGGAGGGGGGGTTGTTACATGTTGCGCCTGAAACAAGGGCCATTTTCAGGCCCTGTGTTGTTTTCAGCCTAAGAGCCTGAAAACAAGGGCCTACAGGCCATGTGGCGTTTTCAGCCTAAAAGCCTGAAAACAAGGACCTACAGGCCTTGTGTCGTTTTCAGCCTAAAAGCCTGAAAACAAGGGCCTATAGGCCCTGTGTCGTTTCTGCCTTAAAGCTTGAAAACAAGGGCCTACAGGCCTTGTGTCGTTTCAGCATAAAACAGGGCCCTCCAGGCCCCGAGTCTTTTCAGCCTAAAACGAAGGGCCATTTTCAGGCCCTCATAAGATCGACTTGTCGTGAAACTCCGGCACCAGACTAGGGTTTTAGCACAGGCCATTTTGGGTTTGTTTTCAAGACAACCTTTGTTTGAGCTTCAACGCCAGGGTCTCGCACGTTTTGGCATTGGCAAGAGCAGCCTCCTGGACGTGCCAGCACTGTATAAGACTGGCCCGCCCTGCAGGCTGCAGGTAGTTCATAGGGACTTCCCATGCACTTCACGTGCAGTTCAGGAGGCAGGAGGTAGTCTTCAGGATTCGGCAGCAGCACTCTGGAGGAGTGTTGCAGTAGTAGTAGTAGCGTTAGCAGTAGCCTTCAGCGTTGGGCGCGAGTAGGAGCTAGAGTAGCACTGGAGAGAGAGAGATTGGGTGGAGGCCAGGGAGACTTAGCTGCACAGCACCATAGCTCCAGCTTCGTCTTCGAGGACCTGCAGCACGACGCCATCTTCAGAGGTTAGTACCTGGCACATGAGAGAGAGAGAGAAAGAGAGAGAGAGAGAGAGAGAGAGAGAGAGAGAGAGAGTTCTTCTTCCTTTTCTCAGTCCACCATCCCCCTCTCACCCTCTCGCTACCTGACTTCACTGCATCAGCAGACTATGAGAGAGCGGGCTTGGTGACATTTGGATCCAGACTCGACATTAGGCTTCAAACATTTGACGAGGGATTATCTGGGACTTGTACCGAGGACTTGGTGTTGACGACATTCCCATCTTCCCCCTCTTCTTCGTCTGATCCCTCCTCTTCGTTTGTGTATGGTCTGGACCTGGCGCATTCTTCCTGTGTGTAGCGCTAGGCCCCAGGACAACCTGATCTGACACGTGTGCGGGGACTAAGTAGCTGATTAGTCTTGATTGATTGATTAGAGCACACTAGTTAGCTCCCAAAATCAGGATTTTGTCCTCACTACCGAAAATCGATTTCTTTTTTCTTTTCTAGGGTTTTGTTTTCTCGCTATTTCTGCTGTGGAAAATCGCAATAGCTCAACATCTGAAATTTCTTCTGAAAAATCGAAATTTCGTTGTTGGAAATTCTGGAATATCTTTTTTTTGAAAATTTCCGATTTCCTTTTGCAATTTCCCGTTATTTAGAAATCCGGAATAATTTTTTTCGGTATTCTTTTTTTTTTTTAAACGGTACGGGGAAATCCCTCTCGCAGTACCATTTTCCAAACTGCGAATACTCTCATCTGAGGAAGTCCGAATACTTCTTATTTCTTTTTGGAATTTTTCTTATTCGGAGTTGATTTTCACTACCTGATAATCATTGGCAGTCTGAAAGTTCGAATTTTGTTTTTTCTCTCATTGATAATTTCGCACTTCAAGGGAGGTTGGGAGACCTACTGAACTTGCAAAACTCGGGATTTTTATTTTCTCAAATTTTTTTTGGCAAAGTTCAAACTTTTTTTTTTGATTAGTGGCTCCTTATCTGGGCGATTTATCCCCACCCACCCCTCCCCACCTATGTTGTTGCCCCCTCTGGTCTTACCTTCTCTATCTGTCTCTGGGTACCCCCTGTGGCGGCATTGGTGAGTTGCCACGTCAGCAGGCCACGTCAGCAGACCATGCAAGCAGGCCACGTCAGCAGGACACATCAGCAGGCCACGTCAACAGCAGGGAGTGCCACGTCAGCAGGCCCCAGCCTGGTCTATGCTTATGCGCTCGAAAACAGCCGTCATCGACCAGATGTCCAGGGAAACGGACGAGGCCTACCAGACCCTGATGCTGCTTTTGATTACCGAAGCCAAGCAACGGTCGGATGCAGTAGCAACCGCAAGAAAGAAGAAGGTAGAGGACGCCGAAAAGGCACGTATGTTGGCAATTGAACAACAGCGCCAGCAAGACGAGGCAGCAGCAAAGGCTGCCGATTAATAACGACTTCAACGACGCGAGAAGATATTCAGCGGAGAGCAAGCTTTGCTCACAATGGCAGCAGACTAGCGGGCGGAGGCTGAGAATGGGAAGTTGGAAGAGAGTGGAAACAAGATCGCTCTACTCCTCTCCCATCTCACGGACGTCCTGGCCACGTGCATTGCACAGCAGGAGGACATTTACAACCTTGACGACGCAGTTCCGACACACAATCAAGTGTTTGATCAACTCACCAGCCGCCTCCAGCAGCTAGAACAAACCGTCACCGCCTCCAGCAGCTGGAACAAACCGTCACCGCCTCCGTTGCCAGCTCTTCCAACACCTCCGGCCTCGAGGCATTGGAGATTGACTTCGGATCCCTCAAGGACGACGTGCAGTTACAGCAAACTGCAACGCAACAGTTGGAGCAACGGATCTGTACGGCCGCCAAACACTCGAGCTTGGAACCGCCCGAGACAACTCCAAAGTTCGATGGGCAGGAGATCTTCTGCGACTCGATGAAGACGGACCCGACTCCATGGTCCGCAAGTTCGAGCTCACGTTGCAGCTACACTACGTCAGCGAACACAAGCATCACGCATACTTATACTCCCGCTCGGGGGGTGCGTGCCAAGCATGGTTGGACAATCTCCTGTCCAAGTATGGAGCGGTGGCTGCCGACTTACATACCAAGATCAGTTGGGGGGATCTAAAGGCGGCGTGGCATAAGCGGTTCCAAGTAGAGCCGCCGGAGATGAAGGCAATGGACAAGCTGATGGTCTTCGAACAAGGCACGGTGTCGAGTGTTGATTGGACTGCCGAGTACCAACGCTTGACATCCGTCCCAGACATCCAAATGGGATTCAAAGCCATCAAACACTACATCTCGAGGTCGTGTCCGGTGTTGGGCAATGCCTTGAGTCACGTCGAGGACGCCCTAACGACACTGGCAGAACTCTTCGACAAGGTCGAGCAGATTATTGTCACGAACAAGGACACCAAGAATCTCCAGCGTTCGTCTGCGCCAGGCTTGAGCAGAGATCAACATCGGCCGAAAGTGGCCGTGGTCGCGGCGGCAACACCAAACGACCAAACTAGTGAGGCCGTGTCTGCCAATGAAAGGGACAGACTCGCAGCTGCCCGAGAAGGTGGCCGCCCCGGCAGAGGCCAAGGACGCGGCAAGGCGAAGACAGACACCGCATCTAGCCTCGGGCCCGGCGCAACAGCTCCAGCCCCATGGTCCCATTATGGTCTCTCCGAGCAAGCATACAAGGCATACACGAGATTCCGCTATTGTCTGTGGTGTAACAACGATCTCCACGACATAATGGCCTGCCAGTCGAAAGGCAAGCGCAAATTGGGAAACTGGGCACCGCCGGGAGTGACTCGACAACACTCTCGACGCCTTCGGAACCGGTCACTTCGCGGGTGACCGCCCTTCGTTCCGAGGCACATGCGGAAGTCGATAGTCCTCTTCTTTATTCTTTTGAGGACTATGCTGCCCGACTCGCTCCTACGCTGGGTACTCATGCTCAAGGACAAGATGTCTGTGCGGCATCTTCTCCGTCCAGCAACGGCAACTTATCGTCTTCAAGTGGTTCTTCACGGGATTCGGCGCGCGAGTTCAACATAGAGGTATTGGACCCGCTCACGTCCGAGGATTTCGCATGGCTTCCTCTCCCGACCACAGGTCGCTTGCCGGGACTGCAATGTGCAACATTATGCACTCATCTTCACACGTACTTATCCTTTTATGCACCACGAACTTCGCCGACGGATGATGAAGTCACGGTGGGGGACATCCTTGCATATGTTACCAAGGTGGCCCGCGAGTTTCGCAAGGTATGATGACAACAATGCACCGCTCCTCTTTGTCCGCATCCAAGTTGGGCAAGCGTCCTGCAGCGCTTTGTTGGATAGCGGCGCGTCTCGCAATTTTATGAGTCAAGCCTTTATGCAAAAGGCTGGCCTTGGCGCACAAGTTCGAAGGAAGGCAAACCCGACGGCGATCAAGTTGGCGGGCGGAAGGACGCAACAGCTTATCGACCGCTACATCGAGGCCGTAGCCGTGTATTTCGCACCTCATGCATGCGAACTGATGACATTTGACATTTTGGATACGGATTTCGACATTATTTTGGGAATGCCTTGGCTTGCAAGTGCGGATCAGACGGTCAACTTCCACCGGCGGACTCTAATCGTTCGCGACGCCTTCGGCGCCGAAGTGTCGTGTACTATTCCTCTTCTGCACCCTTCGATTTGGTGCCAAGTGGTGACGGCCAAATCATTCCGGGCTACTTGTGCTTACGAGCAGCCCGACGAAATCGGCCTATCCTTTCTACGAACCGTCGCAGTAGTCGACTCTTCACCCACAGACTTGTCTTCGGACCCCTGTGTGGTGCGGTTGCTTGACGAGTTCGCCGACATCTTCGAGTCACCGACCGAAGTGGTGCCGGACCGGCCGATCTCTCACGAGATCATTCTCGAGGCTGGTGCCGTGCCGCCGAAAGGTTGCATTTATCGCATGAGCAAGGAGGAGCTTACGGTCCTCCGCGCGCAACTTGATGATTTGTTGGACAAGGGCTGGATCCGGCCTAGTAGCTCTCCATACGGAGTGCCAGCTCTCTTTGTACAGAAGAAGAATAAAGATCTACGTTTGTGCATCGACTATCGCAAGCTCAACTCGCAAACCGTCAAGAGTGCGGGGCCTCTTCCTTGCATCGACGATCTTCTTGAGCGATTGGGCAGCGCGAAGTACGTTTCTAAGTTGGATTTGAGGTCGGGATACCATTAGATTTCGATCCGACCGAAGATCGCTACAAATTCGCGTTCAAGACATGATACGGGCATTTTGAGTGGGTGGTCATGTCTTTTGGCCTCACCAACTCCCCGACGACCTTTCAAGCGGCAATGACCAATGAGTTTCGTGCGATGTTGGACCGTTCGTGCCGGTCTACTTAGACGACATTCGCGTCTATAGCCGCTCATTGGAGGATTATCTTGAGCACCTTCGACGAGTGTTGGAGACGCTCCGCCGCGCCAAGTACAAGGCCAACCGCGACATGTGCGAATTTGTCCGGCAAGAGTTGGAATACTTGGGCCATTTTGTCACACCGGAGGGCATCAGTCCGGTATCGGACAAGACTAAAGCCATCCAAGAGTGGTCGGAGCCGCGGAACGTCACGGATGTCCGTTCGTTCTTTGGCCTTGCCGGCTACTAGCAACGTTTTATCAAGGGATACTTGAAGATCATGGCCCACTTGTCCAAGCTTCAATGCGAGGATCGGCTGTTTGACTTCGGAGAGGTTGCGCGGGAATCATTTTTTACTCTCAAAGCCGCGCTATTATGTGCGGAGGTCTTGCGCATCTACGACCCGCTATTGCCTACACGCGTCACTACGAATGCATCCGGCTATGGCATTGGTGCCGTCCTTGAACAACACGATGGAGTGGACTGGCACCCGGTCGAGTACTTCAGCAAGAAAGTGCCCGTCGTGCACTCCATTGATGATGCACGCAAGAAGGAGCTCCTCGCCGTCGTCCACGCGCTCAAGCGGTGGCGGCACTTCCTCCTTGGTCGAAGCCAATTCTGATGGGTAGCGGATAGCAATCCGTTGGTCTTCTACAAGACCCAAGACACTGTCAATAGCACCATCGCGATGGATGGCTTTCATTGACCAATTTGACTTCTTTCCCGACTAACTATCCTATTAGACCTACTACTTGTCTTAGCAATCACAGTAGCTTCTATTGCTTGAAAACGTGATTTATTAGCTTCTTGAACTATAAGATTGACTTTTAAAATATCTCCTACTCGAATAATAGGCAAACCAAGAGTAAATTGTTGTTCATCCCAACAATTTCCACCCGGTACCAGCACCTACTTCCACTATAGAAGAACTTTACACGAAATTTTATTTTTCTTTTTATGAGAGTGCTTGTTTTAATAATCATCAAATATGTATTTGTTTTGTTTGTTTTGGTGTCATCTTATATCCACTAATGAATCAAATCAATGTGGAAAAGAAGTCGCCCATCTGCCTCATCGCGCAAACAGACTTTAGGTGGTAAGATCCAAAGTCAAAAGGGAAACAGCCCAGATCGTACGCTAAGGTCCTAAAGCAATCACTTAGTGGGAAAGGAAGTGATCGAGCAATTACAACCAGGAGGTGGGCTTGGAAGCAACCATCCTTTATCTTCAAAATAGCCCAAAAAGCTATGCAGGTCATATTGGAGATGATGTACGAAGAGAAATTTATTGATTGCAGTCATGCTTTTCAACCTGGTAGAGGCTCCGCCGTAGCTCTGACTCGTCAAACCGTTTTGCGGATGCTCTTTCACGGTGTCCGGATCATTGTACTGCAGTCTACTCGACCTTCGAGATCGGCGACGGCATGCGGGACAGTTTCATCCGCGGCTACCAAGCCGACCCCGAGTTTCACGACAAGTAAGCGAATTGCTCCTCTCCTAATTCGGCGCCTTCTCACTACCTGATCCAAGAGGGGTACTTGCTTGTCCACACGCGGGGGAAGGACCTTCTTTGCGTACCGAGTGACTCTCACTTGCGTACACGGCTTCTTGGTGAGTTCCACGATGCTCCCGCCACCGGACAAGGCTGACTTCGCGAGCGATTTTGTATGGCCCGACCTTCTCGACGACGTCACACGCTATTGCGAGTCATGCGAGGTTTGCCGACACTGCAAATCCCCCAACCATCGTCCGTACAACGAGTTGCGCTCGCTACCGGTCCCCTTGCGCCGAAGGGAAGCGATTGCCATGGACATTACCGGGCCGTTCCCCAAGCACAAGACCGGTGTGGATGGGATTCTCACGGTGGTTGACCGACTCACCAAGTTTGCCATGTTTGTGCCTTGCCGCTATCATGCCAGGGCACCGGAGTTGGCCGAGGTTCTTTATGCCGGTTGGATTCAAACCACGGGTTACCCCAAGGAAATCGTCTGCGACTGCGACACTCGGTTCATGTCCAATTTTTGGTTGGCGCTCATCAAACGATGGGGCTCATCTCTCAAGCCAAGTTCGGCCCGCCACTCCCAAACTGATGGCCAAACGGATAGGGCGCATCATACCTCACAGGTTCTCCTTCGCACTCCCATACATTCGACCAAAAGGATTGGGTCGAGCGGCTGCCGGATGTCGAGTTGGCATACAACTCATCCATCCACCCGGCTATTGGGATGTCACCCTTTGAGTTCGAGCACGGCTCGCCGGTCACTTCGCAGCTGGACTCAATCATTCCACGAACAGCCGGGAGCGACGACCATCTCCTTTTCTTGCGTTAGATGCAAGAGCTACTTGTCAAGGCACGCGACCAGATGGCCAAGACGCAGCAACGCATGAGCCAACAGGCCAATCGCCAGCGTCTTCCTTGCCCCTTCCGCGCCGGCGATCTCGTTTGGGTTTCCGTTGCGGAATTCATCCTTGAACAAGATATCTCTCGCAAGCTCCTCCCGAAATGGATATGGCCCTGGCCGATCGTGGCACCCACTGGGGATGCACCCGAGGGACCTTCCTTCACTATTCAGGTGCCCGCCCACTTGCCCGTCTAGGCGGTCTTTCATTGCTCCAAGCTGGCTCTTTACACACCAGCGGAACATGACGGTTTTCCCATTTCCAAGACCCACCCTTTATGGATGGTTTTCAAGAGGTCGGCGACGTCATCTCCCAGCGGCGCTACAGCGACAGGCCAACCGAGTACTTGATACACTTTGCGTACTGCAGTCACAGAGCTGACCGTTGGTTGACCCGTGCGGAACTCCGAGCAACAGCTCCGGATGTTCTCGCACGCTACGAACGCAAGATGCAAGGCAAGCCGGTATCTTCGGCTCCATGCCGCACCCGCATTCACGTTCCACCTTCAGATCGTCAGCTTCGCCCTCGCCCGGGCTTGACTTCATAAGGAGGGGGGGTGTTACATGCTGCGCCTGCAACAGGCTGCACGGGCCCCCTTTCAGGCCCGTGACGTTTTCAGGCCAAAAGCCTGAAAACAAGGGCCTACAGGCCCTGTGTCGTTTCAGCCTGAAAGCCTGAAAACAAGGGCCTATAGACCCTGTTTCGTTTCAGGCTAAATCAGGACCTTTTCGGCCTCGAGTATTTTCATCTTGAAACTGAGGGCCATTTTCAGGCCCTCGTCAGTCCGACCCGCCCTGAAACTCAGGCAACAAACCAGGGTTTTAGCACAGGCCATTTCAGGCCTGTTTTCAAGACAACCCCTGGTTGAGCTTCAACGCCAGGGTCTGGCACGTTTCGCAATTGGCAAGACCAGCCTCCTGGACGGGCCAGCACTATATAGGACTGGCCCGCCCTGCAGGCCGGTAGGTAGTTCCTAGGTACTTCCCAGGCACTTCACGTGCAGTTCAGGAGGCAGGAGGTGGTCTTCAGGATTCGGCAGCAGCACTCTGGAGGAGCGCTGCAGGAGTAGTTGTAGCGCTAGCAGTAGTCTTCAGCGCTGGGCGCTAGTAGCGTTAGCAGTAGTCTTCAGCGCTGGGCGCCATAGGAGCTAGAGTAGTACTAGAGAGAGAGAGATTGGGCGGAGGCCATGGATACTTACCTGCAGCGCCATAGCTCCAGCTTCGCCTACGAGGTACGTGCAGCACAGCGGCATCTTCACAGGTTAGTACCTGGCATATGAGAGAGAGAGAGAGAGAGATCTTCTTCTTCCTCTTCTCAGTCCACCATCTCCCTCTCACCCTCTCACTACCTGACTTCAYTGCATCAGCAGACTACGAGAGAAAGAGAGAGCTTGTTGACATTTGGATCCAGACTCGACATTTGGGCTTCAGACATTTTGACGAGGGATTATTTGGGACTTGTGACAAAGACTTGGTGTTGACGACGTTCCCATCTCTCCCCCTCTTCTTCGTCTGTTCCCCTCCTTTTCGTCTGTGCATGATCAGGGCCTGGCGCCCTCTTCCTGTGTATAGCGCCAGGTCTCTTCACACCTTGTGATGAGAATGATGTATGTTTAGTCTGTGTTGCAACATTGATTGGGCTAGTCATTGATATTCTAGCATTCTGCTATGCTATCTTGCACTACGTGATAGAGGTCAGTCTCGGTCAGGTCAGGACTTGTATCTAAGTCTTCCCTACGCTATAAAGCACCATTTTTGTATGTATCAGAATGTACACTGCTTGTTGAGATTTCACTTGCACTGCATTGTCCATTCAGTCCTTCTTATCACATTGCGGATCCTCGGTTGTACATGTACATCGCCCAACAGGGCATGTAACACTTATGCAATGAACCTCGCAGTTCAACACCAATGAGTGCACATATTCACACCACATGCATGTATGACTTGACACGAAATTCACACCGGAGACCAGAGAGATGAAGACCAGGTAGCGCAGCTTATCTTTTTCAGAAAGTATTACAAGAGCAATAAGAGTTCAAGTTACTGGCGCTCATTAGCGAGTGCCAATAGGTAACCGATAATCAGCATAAACTCTCAGGTAAGTATCTCTTTCCCTCTGCTCTTCCCTCATATGTATCTTTCCACCTTCCTGGTCTTCTCCCTAGCTATGTCCTCGCTGTGTCTTCTCTCCCTACATGCGTTCACACTCACTATCTACTACTTCATGGATCTACTCTGAATACACCCGCTGTAACCCCTCTGGAGTCTACTACGAACAACTAGCACTAACACTTCTGCACTGGCGCAGCTATGGCTGCCTTCTCCCTGCCAGCGCTATCTTCCTCTCTCTCCCTCACTTAGCGCAGCACTCTGGCCTCAGCGCTCTGCCCCTCACATTCGCGCACAAGTGCACCAGCACTTCCACACTACTTGCGAATGAGCTTTCTGCCCGAATGTGAGGCTGGCCAGTCCTTTTGTAGTCTTGGTTTGCACTTCAACTCGTGCCAGCCTCTAGTTCTTGGGTCATGTCTGGTTCCGGTACCACATCCCCACGGCCTGTCTGCTATTGAATGTCAAGGCCTGGAACCTTCCCGAATTTCCATTGGACTGCTGCTGCTTGGGCCCTTGAGTCGTGACTTTTCACTTGTGAACATGACTTTTGACTGTGGACAGTGTCTCTTGCCTGTGGATCACGACTTTGGCCTGTGATGCTACCTTTTACTCGTGGGATGTGCCTCTTCAATATGACTTTTCATTAAGAAACGTGACTCCTGTCTTGAGACATGACTCTTGCTTGGTGAATCTGCTTTTTCACTCGTGGAATGTGACTCTTCTGAATGGCTTTTATTATGAGACGTGACTCTTGTCCCTGAGACGTGACTGCTTGCTGGGTGCCTGTTGGACCAGACTGCTGAGGTACCCGATTGTGACTTTTCTGAATTTGACGAACTCGGCCTTTTCTTGGCCTGGGCGTCTGACCCTGAGATCCGAATTTGGGGTCTGAATCGTGGAAGGCCTTTCACTTAGTGCACAAAACTGTTATATGCGCTGGCTACCTTAAGTTAAGTGCTCATCCCAATCTATCTGATCTGGCCTTATATACATGCGAAGGACTTGTTGCAATAGTTTGTTCATCCGTTCCGTCTGTTCGTTTGTCTCCGGATGTCTACCGGATGACATCATTAACTTTGACCCATACACCTTCATCAACTGTTGCCACTGTTCGCCGGTGAATCTAACATCTGGATCACTAACTAGAGTTAACAGATGGTCGCACTCCTTCACCGGATGGTTGAAGAACTCCCAAATCACTAAGTTTGTCTTTGCTTCGGGTGGCAGCATAACTAAAACAACAAATTTACTGAATCTATCTACAACTACCATTACTCGACTCTTCCCGTGTCGACTCTTGATCTTAGTATGCGTTTAGTCAATTGCAACGGAGTCACCGGGACCTAATGGTATCGGCAAGGGTTTCAACAGTCCTAGCAGGGGCTGTGTGGAACTCTTGATCCATTGACAGACTTTACAGCCTTGGACATAGACAATGCAGTCACTCTTCATATCGATCCATGTGTAGGAACGAAGTAAGTTAGTGTAAGTCTTTTTCCAACCAAAGTGCCCCTCCGTATTGTGGCATTCTCCTAGGATCAAACTCCAAATCTCCTCGTCATTCAGAATACACAGTTGGTCATCTACATCGGTCTTTTCAAATGGCAGTCCGTTGGTCATCCTATACTCTGGGACCTCATGCCGGGCGTCTTTCACCTTGACTATGATGTTGCGTAGGTAGGGATCTCTCCGGTAGACGGCTTTGATCTTCTGCTGCAACTCACTCCCGACATTGAGGCAAGTGCATCTTCCTACTTCTTTATGGTTAAAATGAAAAAACATAGAAGCTATAACATCGTATTTGTACCTATCACCTATTGAAATGCACGACAATTCTAGGGGTACAAGATTTATGACATATGAAGATTGACTTACGAGAGGGAACTGTTTGCGATGAGGGAAATGCTAGCTCACTGGCAACCCTCTGTTAGATAGACACTTCAAAGTTTACTCAGACCATGAG